TGAATTACTTCTAACAATTTGCGAAGAGGCTCTCTGGGAGCGGGCCAGTGGTCTTTGGGATGAGCGGTGGCGGCGGTGGAACCGAGAGACAAACCCTAATCACCAGAAGAAGGGAGAGGAGAAAAGCCACGCGTCGGTACGTGGCCAGCGCTGTCTCTCGATCAGGGGAAAGGTTTGGCGAATTTGACGCCAAGTCCAAGTCGTGGCAAACCCGGAGTACCACCATACACGGAGCCAACCAGGTGATACTACTTTTCTTAACTCTTCTGTTCTACGGATTTAATTTAGGAGGCCACTACGCGACGGCCGGCGGATCTTTTAAAAAGATCCGCCGCCTCGCCGGTCGTTGGATGTGGCATAATCGTGTGGCTCAACGTCTCTCTTTACTTCGCAACAAAGGTCTTGTTGCGAAAACATTTACAATAAATATTATGTCGTAGAATATATTTTTTGCAACATATGATGTGTTGCAGGATTTTTTTTGCAACATAGTTTTTGTTGTAGATTTGTTTTTTTGCAATAGAGATTTTGTTGCAGTTTTTTTTTGCAACAGAGTTGATATTACAAAAGATTGTCTAAGTTGCAGTCGTCGTTCGTTGTTATGGTTCGGAACACCACCATTGTTGCAGGATAAGATAGAGGACACATGGTTGACAAGAGAAATAACGGAGTATGTGTGGAGCGTGCATGACGACGCATGGATCAAGGCGATCCAACGACTGTTATGCGTAGGCCGGTGAATCTTTTAAAAAGGTCTGTCGGCTCACGAGCCATCGGATCAAGTGGATTGAGCGACCAAGCGTCACTTTTTATCATTGCAACATAGGTCGTGTTGCAGGAAATTTTCTGCATCACGGGTCATGTTACAGAATTTTTGCAATGTATGTCAAGTTGCACTTTTTTTTACAGCACATGTCTTTTTATAGTTTTTTTTTTGGTAACAGAGTTTTTGTTGCAATTTAATTTTTTTTACAATATGTTTCTGCAACATAAGTCTTGTTACAATATGTTGCAGAGAATATTGTAAAGGATAGTGAACAGCGCTCAGCAGTCACGTTGATCGAAAGAAAGAAAAAGATGAAACCGTCCAGGTAGGACACGAGTCACATGAACGAGCCGGCGGATCCGCCGGTTGAAGCCAAGCTTTTTCCTTTAATTTAACTCCCATATAAAAATATTTTTATCAGTTGTATGTACGTCATGTACTTCTGTACTATACTAGTGTACAAAATTGTTCCTTTTTTTTGCAAAACTACTGAATTGTTCCGTTGCACGAGTTTAATTTAATTCCCGCAAATGTTTTTCTCTCTATTTTTTCACCAAGTTTAATTCTCTCTGGTCCGGCTCTGTACCACATTTGGTATATTTGATCGCTAGACAGTGTGGGGTTGGTAAGTCACGTCCCTGTCAAATTATCATAGTCACGACCATGTCATGATACACACACGATAATATATGATAATATAACGACATACTCCTTTAATCCCTTTTAGTATTCTATACATCCGTATCTAGATAAATTTAAAACAAGTAATTTGCGATGCAGGGAGTGCTATTTTGTATGTTGAATTCCATCTTGATTGGCGACCACATGTCATACATATATGTATAGGTCTTTATCCTATATGTAGAATGTACCACTGCTTCTGCGTTTACAAGCATTGGTTTGTTGTGTCATTCATTGCAATCTCTCTTTCAATTCGAGGATCCATAAAAGTGTTTTTATAGTCATCTTCGAATATATATATGAAAGTTGGTATTTATGATCTACAATGATCCCTCTTAAACATTCATGGCTGAATGATTAAAGCGCCCAACTCATAATTGATAAACTTGCGGGTTCAATTCCAGCTGGATGCACACGAACGGGAACATTTCACAAGTCTATTGGAACTGGCTCTCGATCCATGAAATCTCATGTTGTGAAATTTTGCAGTTTATTTCTAGCGTGGGAATAATTATAATTTTACAATATACATCCAATTCTTACAATTTATGTCGACTAGACTCCGAGAATAGGCACCCGAAGGACAGGCTGCAACAAGAGTTGGTCCTTCCGCCTCGCGGTGAGGCCGAATGCCTCGGTCATGTTGAGCTTCGCCGAGCGTGGTCCTGGCCGCTGCCAATCGAAGTGGAAGAGCAAGCTCGCGAGCGGGAGCTCTACGTTGGCGAGGCCGAACGCCATCCCAGGGCACATCCTGCGGCCGGCGCCGAAAGGCAGGAACCCGAAGTCGACGCCCCCGAAGTCGGCCACCGCCGCCTCCCCCTTGAACCTTTCCGGCCAGAACTCCTCGGGCGCGTCGGGCCAGTAGCGCTCGTCTCGGCCCAGCGCCCAGGCATTGACCAGCACCTGGGTGCCCCGCGGCACGTCGTACCCCAGCACCTGGCACGCTTCCTGGCACTCGCGGAACAATAGCGGTAGGGGCGGGTGCAGCCGCAATGTCTCCCAAATGACCAGGCGTAGGTATGTGAGCTCTCTTAGATCTTGCTCGGACACAGTGCCGCAAGCATGGAAGGCTCCCCGCACCTCGGCCGTCGCCTTGTGCATGGCCCTCGGGTTCTTGACCAGCTCTGCCATGGCCCATTCCAGCGTCGTAGCTGCTGTTTCACTCCCTGCGCCTAATATGTCCTATCCTCAAAACATGGGATTTTTTAGGTTAACAATCCGCACGAAAAACATATGTATTCTTGAAACCTAAAACTGTGCACGGTTAATTTCTTGTACGATCCATATTTGGACCGAAAAATCACTTTGAAATAGATAGTTCGTCCAGAACAAAACAAGAACATCACATGACCACGATAGGCGATATATAGCACTGATGCAAAGAGCCAAAGAGACTACTTAATTACCATGATGACGGATTTGATGGCGTCCATGTCGAGCGGAAACTGGAGGCCACCTTCCTTCCGGATACTCAGCAGCACGTCAAGCAGGTCCTCGCCGCCGTCCATCCTCTCCAGGTGCTCCTTGACGATGCCGTCGAGAATGCGGTGCACGGTGTCGTGGCACTCCTTGGCGCCGCCGAGCCGCGCGGCGAGCCGCCACGAAGGCCACAGGTCGGCCGGGTTGAACCCCGCCGCGAGCTGCATGGAGCGGTCGAGCTCCCGGAGGAGCGCGTCGCGCTCCCTGCACCGGTCGCCAATCACGGCGCGCACCGTGCTGTCCGCCACGAGCGCGGCCAGCAGCGCGCGCATCTCCACGGGGCGCGCGGCCGCCGCGGCCTCGCCGACGCCGCGGAGCGCTGCGGCGACCTCCTCCTCGCGGATGGCGCGGAAGGAGCGGACGCGGCGCGCGGTGAAGAGCTCCACGACGGCGATCTTCCGGAGCTGGCGCCAGTAGTCCCCGTAGGGCGCGAACACGATGTCGCGGCCGCCGCTGGTGAGCACGCGCATGGTGGCGCTCACGGGCCGCATCGCGAACGCCTTGTCGTGGGTCTTCATCACCTCGCGCGCCCCCTCCCGGGAGGACACCACCACCGTGGGCACCTCGCCGAGCCGGAGCAGCATGGCCGGCCCGTGGCGTCGCGCCAGGTCACACATCGCGCGGTGAGGTAGCTGCCCGGCCAGGACGAGGTGGTGCAGGCTCCCGATCACCGGCAGCTGCCACGGCCCCGGCGGGAGGCGCAGGCCGTGGCCACCATCACCCCGCGCCCCCCAGCGCCTGCGGCCCGCAAGCACGGCGAGCAGCGACAAGAGAGCTATGCCGAGGTAGACGACGACGTAGGCGTCCTCCATTTGCGCTATGGGGCCTGACCAATGCTTCCTTCCATTATATGAAGTGTCGACACCTACATATTGAAATTGAAATTGATGACAAAATTGTGTATGGGCGCCGCAACCGCCGGCCTACAAAATTAGTTGTAGCAGCCTTTTATATGTCACATATGTGGACGCATGCAACGTTAGCAGACTGTAGCCGACTGAACTGAACATTGCACATGCCCTTATACGATTAGCGGGTTGTGGCGGTCGCGCCTCTTGCAGCCCTAGCGGCACGTGTGTGCTCGTAAGCTGGACGTGCATGCCCATGAAATCTCAAGCTTTATCATCGCACCTGTCGTGCTCTGGGGAGCTACTGTGATGAAGCGGTGGCTGAATTCTAGCCTCCCAGAGTTTCTAAGCTGACACAAATTCCTGCCTTGTGGTAGCTCTCTCTTCAACTGCCTATCGTTAGCTCGTTTCCATAAGATATTAGGCATCGCTAACTAGAGTAATTCTGAACTTTTCATGGATGATCAATGAATACATAGTATAGATGCGTAGATGATACCAACGAGTTATAACCTGCTCATCATAGAGACCAAGTGCGTTTACAAATCACTAAAGTAGTAATCTACATCTCTTTATATTTCTTTACAGAGAGAGTATGAATTATGGCGGCTTCTGAATCCGGCAAGTTTGTTGACGGCCACATATGTTGATCTTCTTTTTTACTTTCTTTTGCCAATACACAAAGGTCACATGGGCAGAAGAAGTTGGAATGAGCACAAGGGTACAGGGACAATACAACACATGCCACAGACAAGTATAGTCACTGCAATTTTTGTGTTTAGATTTTGAATCAAATAAATTATGCTCATGTCAAACGTAATATTTAATGAATAGTGTATAACTTTTTAGGAAATTAGTTGGAGATGCTGTATGTTGTGAAACTAAACACATACTACTAAAAATTGTTTCTATGATTTTCATTGTAGGAATATGTTAACATAAAACAATACTTTGGATGGAAGTAATTAACATGTATCAATTGAAACAAAACGTCCGACTATGGTATTATTTCAAGTAGGTTTACAATATATTCAGGAACCACATATTGATCTAGCCCCACTACGCTAGTTATTGCATAATACTAATGATGTTATGCAACAGTAGAACTTTGCAATTTATTTTCTATGTGGGTACAATTATAGTTTTACATTATACGTCCATTTCTTATAGTTTATATATTGACTAGACTCCGGGAATAGGTACGCGAAGGACAGGGCGCAACAGGAGCTGGTCCGTCCGCCGTGCGGTGAGGCCGAACGTCTCTGTCATGTCGAGCTCCGCCGAGCCTGGCCCTGGTGGTTTCCAGTCAAAGTGGAAGAGCATGCTTGCAAGCGGGAGCTCGACGCCGGCGAGGCCAAACGCCATCCCAGGGCACATCCTGCGGCCGGCGCCAAACGGCAAGAACGCAAAGTCACCACCCCCAAAGTCTGCCTTTGCTGCTTCTTCCTCGAACCGTTCCGGTCGAAACTCCTCAGGCGCGTCGGGCCAATAGCGCTCGTCGCGGCCTAGCGCCCAAGCATTGACCAACACCTGCGTGCCCTGCTGCACGTCGTATCCCTGCACTTGGCACGGTTCCTGGCACTCGCGGAACAACAACGGCAGGGGCGGGTGCAGTCGCAACGTCTCTCGAATGACGAAGCGTAGGTATGTGAGCTCGCTTAGGGCGTGCTCGGCCACGGTTCCACTGGCTTGGAAGGCTTGTCGCACCTCAGTTGTCGCCTTCTGCATGGCCATCGGGTTGTTCATCAGCTCTGATATGGCCCACTCAATTGTCGTAGTTGTTGTTTCACTGCCCGCGGAGAATACGTCCTGTCCATAAAACATGAGATTTTTAGATGAATATAATGACCCGCATGAGATAACATGCGTTTTACGATAACTCTGTTCATTTTAACTTAGCAAGCAGTGTTAGCTAGCTTCTACGGAGATGTTTTTATGCATTGCGTATATTTTGTCAATACTAAATGTGCAAGTAAGACCGGCCGCTATGCGAAGAGAATACTGTACTTACCAAGATGATGGCTTTGACGGCGTCCATGTGGATGGGAAACTTGAGACCACCCTCCTTCTGGATCTTGAGCAGCACGTCGAGCAGGTCCTCGGCGTGGTCTCCGCCGCCGTCCATCCTCTGCAGGTGCTCCTCAACGATGCCGTCGAGCATGGTGTACAGGGTGTGGCGGCACTCCTCGGCTCCACTGAGCCACGCAGCAAGCCGTGACGACGGCCACATGTCGGCCAGGTTGAACCCCGACGCGAGCTGCACGATGCGGTCGAGCTCCCGGAGGAACGCGTCGCGCTCCTTGCACCGGTCGCCTATAACGGCGCGCGCCGTGCTGTCCGTCACGAGCGTGGACAGCACCGCGCGCATCTCCACGGGGCGCGTGGCCGCAGCGGCCTCGTCTACGGCGCGGACCGCTGTGGCGACCTCCTCCTCGCGGATGGCGCGGAACGAGAGGACGCGGCGCGCTGTGAAGAGCTCGGACACGGCGATCTTGCGGAGCTGGCGCCAGTACTCCCCGTAGGGCGCGAAGACGATGTCCTGGCCGCCGTAGGAGAGCACGCGCATGGTGGTGCTGAGGGGCCGCGTGGCGAACATGGTGTCGTGGTTCTTCATCACCTCGCGCGCCCCCTCCCGGGAGGACACCACCAGCGTCTTCACCTGGCCGAGCTGGAGCAGCACGGCCGGCCCGTAGCGTCGCGACAGGTCGCGCATCGCGCGGTGAGGGAGCTGCCCGGCTAGGACGAGGTGGTGCAGGCTGCCGATCACCGGCAGCTGCCACGGCCCAGGCGCCATACGCAGGCCGTCGCCACGCGCCCCCCAGCGCCGGCGGCCCGCAATCATGATGAGCAGCGAAACGAGAGCTACGGCGAGGCAGACCGTGATGAAGGTGTCCTCCATTTGCGCTCTCCCTGGCGACTCTGGGTCCGAGCTAAGGAATGTAGTGTCACCTAAGGAATTTCGCTTCGTGTGTTTGCAAGTTGTGAGTTGTGACAGATGAATCCGATCTCAACTGAAATTTATAAGATGATCACAACCTGCGCGTGCATGTGGTGGGCTTCAAGCTTGGACTGCATGGTCATGGGTCAACATTTCACGGCTCTTTTCCGGCCACGGTGACGCCAGCACTAGACACGCGTCATCCATTTAGACATCTTAACCGAAAATTTCCACGTGCATGGGCGGTACGTACATGCATGCTTGACTTGTACACTGAAGGTGCCCAAGAAATTTCAAGCTTTATGGTGACATGTACGTCGGCACGTACGACGGTACGAGGCCTGAATCCCGCGTGCATGCATGCAACATGGGCCGGATAGAGCCAAGTCTACCGTCTCCAGCACGCCTCACCTGACCAGAACCAAATATCTTCCCGCAGCAAGTGCGTGCGCATCACCGCAAAAATCAAGTCTACCGTCTCCAGCACGCCTCACCTGACCAGATGCAACTATCTTTCCACAGCAAGTACGTTCGCACCACCATTGTTGACCGAGAACAAAGAGAAGCTCCAAGGAAGCAGATCAACTGTGTGATGTGGTACAAAGTAGAAGCTGCTTCTCTGATGAATTTTTTCTAGAATAAAACGAACACGAGCCATCGAATATCTGATGGACGACACAAATTTATCACGTGGCAGCTAGTAGAGAGCCAATATCTGGCGATAGAACGTCGGGGAGGCGGTCCTGCGATCGATTAGTTTCCCACAAGGGGTGCAACAACTCCAGCGAACGCCCACGACGAACCCCTCTGCCTGTACGACAAAACACGTGTCCTTGAGTTGGGCCAAAAATGTCCCAGTTTAGGATAAAATGCCGTTATGTTTAAAAAGAAATGCCTTGAAAAAATAATTGAAAATTACATGCCTTACGAATACAAAAACAACCAAGATAGTAGGGTATGTTTATACACACTTGCCCATATGTGATATGTCTAAAATGGTGCCCTGTGATGTGTGTACCTAAACTGTCATGCAAGAAAAGTTACCATGATATGCTGAAAAAATGCCATGCTATACAAAAAATAGAAATGGCATGTACTTAGCAATAAAAAAAAAGACATGCTCTTTCAAGTAAACTAACCATGCTCTAAAACAATGTCATGTTCTTTAATAATAAGAATGGCATGCTCTTACTAACAAAAATGTCATGATCTACAGAAAATAAAAACGGCAAGCTCTTTATAATAAATGCAAGGCTCGTTAAAATAGAAGTACCATGATTGCACAATAAAAATGCCAGGATCTACAAAAAAATGCCATGCTCGTAAAAATAGAAGTGACATGATTATACGATAAAAATGCCGTGGGTCTGGGGCTGCCCACGGCCCGCTCTGACACTCCCGTGGGTGACCCCAAGGGTCGTCCCTCTCTTTGCCTGTCTCCATCTCCGTACCTTTTTTTCAAAATAGAAACAGAAAAGAAATTTAGGAATAGTGCGGGTGCGACGGAACGAATCAAGTGAAACGAGTCCCCCTTATGACATTTTTTCATCCAAGCAAGGGCGCGCCCATTGCCTCCCGCCAGAGTGTGTGCCTTGGCCGATCCAGGGTCGCGTCGGGCAGGCGTGTGCTGACGATCCCAGAGAAGGCGGGCATTCGGGCTGCTGCCCGCAACCTCGAGACAACACTGGCACCCGCTGACTAGGCAGCGGGACCGCGATCGGTTGGGGCAGATGTTGGATGCGCTACGCTATGTGCCTATCTTCGTTGTGGACCGCCTGATGATGTGGCCAATTGGTGGTCCTTTTTCTATCGTTCCCTTATGCTTTCTTTGGGCGTGCTTGTGTTGTTGCCTAAGTAGACTCTTTTATCTCGGTGGTCTGGTACTCGTAGTATGGACATGATGGGTGCTTTATTTATAAAGTGGGGGTGAAAGCCTATTTCGAGTAGCGCTTCTACTTCTGGTTCATGTAATGAATGTTCAGTATATATAGTTCGTTCTCTACACATATTTTTAGAGAATACATGTTTTTTTATATTTAAAACCTATATTTGTATGATAAAGAAGTCATCAGAATCTTCGTTGGACATGAAATGTGCTACTATAACTACGATGAAACTTGAATGCTTAGTATGTGTACATTGAGGTCTACATCTCAAGAAAAAAAAACTTCAATTTAAAAGGTGCAAGGATTCTCCAAATGACATCTACGCATAGATGTGCTAAGTCATTAGGCACACAAATCACATGTTTTTATGAAGCTTCTATGTTATTATCATCCTCGCAACAAACATAATTTACCCTAAAAAATGTTTGATTTGTCATGCCTAAAAAATCTGACATCAGATTTATCGTGTTCCAAGTTTACAAGCTTATTAAGGTGATGAGAGCATCTACAACCAGGATCGGCTAATATCAAACCCCAAACATCCACGAACGTGCCCGATCACTAACCGGATGCCTTTATTTTAACCCTCTATTTATGCATGCATGCAACCATGTCCCCACATCCTCCCTAAATTGTCCGGTCAAATGCATATGATTGGTGGGGAATGAAAGAGAAATAGAAAAGAAAGAATAAAGAAACAAAAGGTAGTCTGGGGTGGGCCGCATCCTACGCGGATACGGGGATTTGCAAACAACAAGGAAAAAGTGGGGGTCCTTTTGGGTGGTTTTTTCCTTCTTTTCTGTTCGCACAATGCTCGGGCTATCAGATTGGACGTTTGAGGGGTCCGGTTGCAGATGCTCTAAAATAATCAGTGCGGGCGAAGGGCATTCCCAATGCCGACCATCAAAACAAACACTCTATTTTTCCGCAGACACGCGGGTGCAGGAGTCGACCATCCAATCATGTCCCCTAAACGCTCGCCCTATTTTTTCTTTTAAGTTCGAACACTCAAAATAATTATTGTAAATAGCATAACTCATCCATGAATAAATATCCCTAAAACAACAATAGTTCAAATGTAAACATAGCAACCGAGATAACCAAATGTTCGATAAGTTTTTGGAATTCAACGATACTCGAATCAGTATCGGCACAAGTCCTCCCACACATTGTACACCTTGAGCTTCATCCAACATTGTATGAATCGAAATGGTCTACCCTCAGTCCAACACGGCAATGCTTTCGGGCTATACAATGATGATTATCAAGTTGCGACATTGAGGGACTCAATGAATTGACCAGCATGTAGAGTAACAACAAGCAAAATTTATGATATCCATGATATCCATGGTTGACCAGCATGTAGAGTAACAACAAGCAAAATTTATGATATCCATGGTTGACGAGCACGGTGGCCGCATTGTCTCCACATTTGCGAAAGAGACCATGTAGCGAAACAGGCACCTCGTTGCTTGCCAGTCTGATCCGATGCCTCCAGTTAGTGATCGGGCACGTCCGTGACACGTGTCTTCCATACACCTGCATCGCCAGTGCCACAACACGCTCTCGTCAGTTGTTAGTCCCAAGTCATATCACATCTACATTGACCTCTACGTCTCTGTCTCATCCAAAAGTGAAAACCCATTGTTAACTGCAGTTGGGCCCATCAAAATTAAGCATGAGCAAAATAAGGTAGTAGATTGGTTGGCGTCGTATAGCCGCTCATAGAGTAGTACTGCTGTATGGTTATATAGAGAACCACCATATATAACCATGAATAGAAGAACTTCTGTCCCTCGTCCTATTAAATGGAATAAAACTCTTTTCCACTCGAAAAAGAAACTGCAGCCGGGCCCGGGCCCCGTACGCGTCAGGCGTGTCCCTCGACCAGAGAGGTCCACAGCACGCGCACGCACGCACGCTTGCACTCAACCAGGGAGAAAATATGTTCTCAAACAAAAAGAAAACAAGGGAGAAAATTATCCTCAGCGTGAACAAGGCGGCCACCGCCGGCGGGAAGGGCCAGGCCACACGTAGCGGGAGCGGTAAGCGCTCGGGAGGAGGCATAGCCGGAGTTGGCGTGGGCGGTGCCGGCCCGACAGAAGGCGCGAAGCGAGCAGGTGGTGCTGGCGGTGGGGGTTGGGGAGGCGCGTCGGCATTCTTTTCCACCGGCCATAGCACCTTCCAGACGGTAAGCCGGCTGGCCAACTTCACGACCACCATTATGCATATCTTATCTTAGTAATGTTACAGCTTATTCGTCTCCAGGCAGTGGCTGCCACCAATGAGTACTACGACCAGGAGGAGAACGACTGTTCCTCCGAGGAAGACTGCCCAACATTCACTCCCGCCAGCCATAGCACATTCCAGACGGTAAGCCGGCGAGCGAACTCAATAACCACCACACCATTATGCATTCTCTGGGTAGTTAATGTCACAGATTAACGCCACTATATATGCAATCGTCTCTAGGCTGTTCATTCCACGAATGAGTACTATGACGGTGAGGAGAACGACTGTTCGTCCCCATTTGCTCCCGCAGACCATGGCACCTTTGAAACGGTAAGATCGGTTAATTAGCTAGCAAACTCAGACGACCACCACCATTATGCATTATTATTCTCTAAAGAATGTCACGGCTTAACACCGTACGTTATGTGTCCGTCTAGGCGGCGGAGAAAATGAATGAGTACTACGATGAGGAGGAGAACCTTGGTTTGTCAATGGACGAGGAAGAGGGCGTGCAGGATGCTGAACTTGTGTCTGATGCAAACGGAGAGGGTGACCACGACAGTGGCGGGGGTGGTGATGACGACAATGCCGGGGCTGGGAGTGGTGATGACCTCTTCGACGGTGATGACTAGTACGGCGACGACGTTGCCGGGGGTTTTGACGATGGCTACGATCCAGGTGATGCTGGGGATGGAGGTGATGACTGGTGGTAATGATCGAGGACCGAGGAACTTGACTACTTGAGGCATCTATAAAGCCTTGGTGTCAAGATGAAGTCTCTCTATCAGGTTTGCTAGTTCTTATGTTATAATCTTAGGTTCAGTTGTGAGCTTGCTTCTAGCT